TTCATCCCTTCATCCATCCGTCCACCCATCCTTTCATCCCTTCATCCCTCCTTCCATCCATCCATCCATCCTTTCATCCCTTCGTCCATCCATCCATTTACCCTTCTGTTCCTCGCGTGCAGAGTTTGGCGGCCGCAGCTCGAGGATATCTGCAACAGGTGGTAAGCGCGCGCCACTTTTTTCCTCCTTTTTTATCCCCGGGTGAAAAAAAAAAGAGTCCAGATGTTATCTGTGACAGCCGTGTGTGCGTGTGTGTGCGTGTGTGTGCGTGTGTGTGTCTGAGCAACGTGTTTCATAACAAAAGATCTTTAGTCTTGGCTGCAGGTACCAGGAGTTTCAGTCAATAAATGTCAATAAAAGCACAAAGTTTATTTAAATGTCACGTTGTTCCATCTGTTGGTTTTTAAACCACGATATAAAACCTTCAAGTTTTAAAAACTACTTTACAAAATTAACTGAATTGTAAAAGAAATAAACGAAACATCGTTAGCTGTTTTTTTTTTTTTTTTTTTAGCAAATCCTGGATTGTTTCTGTTTGTTGTCGGGATTATAATGATTCTAAAAATTAGGTCAAATGACCCGGTTGCGCACGCGCGCGTGCACGCACGCAAACAATTCCGGCTTAGTGGCCCGTAATCCCACGAGAGCCACTTTCTTTTTTCACCAAGACGCAGATGATGAAGAGGAGGAGGGATGACGTCACCCGGAAACGCTTCGCTGAACCTCATTGATTCTCACCTCCCAGTCTGCTGCGTTTAAAACCGCACTCCGGTGAGAGCAATCCCATTATCTGAGTCAAACCAGTCTCCAAATGTCCAAACCAACACTCTGGATTCAGGAAAACGGATCAAGTTTAAGATCAGTTCATTTGTTCATAAAAAGTTCATCATTACAGTTTTAAAAGTTCATCATTACAGTTTTAAAAGTTCATCATTACAGTTTTAAAAGTTCATCATTACAGTTTTAAAAGTTCATCATTACAGTTTTAAAAGTTCATCATTACAGTTTTCATTTGGGACCTTGACTTTGTGAGGCTCGACCTGCTGCTCTGACATGAATTCATTTAAAAACATTAAAAATAAGAATTCAATCAAATCCGCGTTTGGTTTATTATTCTTCCAAACCCCTGGCGTGTTTTAGTTTATTTATTTATTTTATTTTTTGTTTTCTGACGTTCATCTCAGAGCAGAGTCGTGTTTCAGCTGGGTTAGTGTGCGCGCGCGCGTGTGTGTGTGTGTGTGTGTGTTTGGAGCGATCGGAGGGACTGAATGGCAGCCAGCCTGCTGATCTAGCGCAGGTGCAGGGAAGGGAAGCGGTTGGTGCGTGTGCGTGCGTGTACTCTCTCCACAACACACGCACACGCACGCACGCACACACTGAATAGGACCACACACTGACACGGACCGTCATGCCATCAACCTCGCGCTGCTCCTCGGCTCGGTCTGCATTCTCTGAGGCTCGAGGCCTCAGCGACCCCCCCCCCCTCCCCCCAACACCCCCCCATCACCCTCTCCCCTCCCCCCACGTCACCAGCGGCCCAAGCTCCGTTTATCATTTCAGCTCATTGATGCTGACAGCTTCACAGAGCGCCATCACGGAACAACAGCTCTTTTTTGTTTTTACAACTTTAAGTTTAAAACAAAGACACGAGTTTTGTTCTAAACACACGAAGACATCAACAAACTGGGATACTTATAGGTTTAATTATCTTTTAATTATTTTTGTCTTCACGTTTAGCTAATGAATTAAAAAAAACTGTCATAAAATTTACTTTTTAAAACCTTGTTGATCTCATCGCTATAATATATATATTGTAAAATTATAAAATGAGTTCTCGTGGCTCAATGAGACTACCTGGAAAAAAAAAGGATAAAAAAAAAAAAAAAAATATATATATATATATATATATATATATATATCATGTTCTTACAGCCTGATTTATGTTCTCTAAGTATTGAAACGTGGTAACAAGCGAAGGATGCGTGGGCTTTTTATTGTAAGAATTGTTGGGAAAACAACAATAAAATGTCTGTTTCAGTTTGTAAAGTAAATCCTGCTGTAATCCGGGTGAAGAGAGTGTGTCAGTAAGTTTAAAACAGAGAACCTGTTGCAACAAATGTTATTAAAATTTTAATTTGGGGCCCATAACTTAATAAAGACTAATTATTGAATTATAGCTCCATCGCTTTACACATTGTTTTTTTATTTCATTAAAGTTAAGACTACTTTTTATTTTATGCTCTCTTGTTTATTGGGACAGGCCTCTGTTTAATTTTATTTTATACAAGTGTTTATTTTTGTTCCTGTTTTCACACTCACCGGTTCATTTCTTAGTCAAAGATGCAGAATGTAAGTGTCAACGTGCACATTGTCTTACAACAACCCCGAGTTAATGCAGCCATAATGACAGAAGGGCGTGCTAATTGGCCTTTTTGCCTTCCCAACAATACGCGTAGATCAGCATCTCTTTATGATTTAATAACGTCAAACGCTTGGTTGCCTGCTTTATGGAGGAGGGCCATGCAGATCCGACTCACAAATTTGTATCAATACATATTTTTGCATATAATGTTATTATTTTTAATCATTACTTGTGTTTATCAGCGCTGCTCATGCGTCCTGGTGCAACAGGTGCCGAAGCTGCAGCTCCAAGTGAAAGTGCTCTGCATGCTCGGGTGCTCTTTTGTTGTCCAGAAATGT